TTGTAATGTCATATGTATATTTGTGATTATTTGTTAATCTGGAGTGTACTTTTTTTAAGATTTTATTTATTTATTCATGAGACACAGAGAGAAAGAGAGGCAGAGACACAGGCAGAGGGAGAAGCAGGCTCCATGCAGGGAGCCTGACGTGGGACTCAGTCCCAGGTCTCCAGGATCACACCCTGGGCTGAAGGCAGGGCTTAACCGCTGAGCCACCCAGGCTGCCCTGGAGTGTATTGTGGAGGTAGAGTCAATAAGAATTGGTAATGTGTGCTTTTGCTCTACTGTAAACTCAGTGACATGTTTGTTTTTTGCCTATTTCTGGGCCTAGTCCAATTTCTTCATTCCTTCAACAAGTGTGTGTTGCAGGTCTATAACACACCTGGTACTCTTCTAGATATGAATGAACAACTTCCTAGTGGAGTATATATTTCAGCTGGGGAAACACAGTAAGCAAAAATAAATAAGTAAAAGATGTACTAGATAATGATAAATGTTAATGAGGAAGATAAAACAGAAAGAGGTACAGGGCATATTTCTGTGTAGATACTGTAGTTTTAAGCAGAGAGTGGCCACAGAAGACCTGAAGGAGACATTTGAATAAAGATCCAAGGAAGAAGGACTGAACCAGGAAGATAAGTGAGGGCCAAGCATTTCATGTAGAGATAAAGGAAAGTGCAAATGCCTGGATTGGTAAGGCAAGTGGCATTTTCCATGAATACTAAGTACTGTCTCTCTCTCTCTCTCCCTCCCTCTCTCTCTCTCTCTGCGTGTCTCCTGAATAAATAAATAAAACCAAAAAAAAAAAAAAAGATTCGAAAAGCTCTTTTATTTTTTTAAGATTTTATTGATTGATAAGAGACAGAGAGAGAGAGAGGCACAGACATAGGCAGAGGGAGAAGCAGGCTCCCCATGGGGAGCCCCATGCAGGACTCTATCCCAGGGCCCAGGCTCAGGACCTCAGCAGAAGGCAGGTGCTCAACTGCTGAGCCACCCAGGCACCCCTTGAAAAGCTTATCTGACATCTATGTCAGCCAGCCTCCAAGGTGGTTCAATGAGCCTTACCTCCTGGATTTACTCCTTTGTGGAATCCCCTCCTACATTAAATCTAGGCTGGTGTGTTTGACCAATAGAATACTGCAAAAGTGATGGTGTGTGATTTCTGAGGCTGGCATAATTTCATTGAGCTTCTGCATTGATTTCTTGGATTGTTTGCCCTAGGGGAAGCCAGCAGCCATGCTCTGGCTCAGAGCCATGCTCTTGAGAGGCCTGCATGGAAAGGACCTGAGGCTCCCCCACCAACAAAGGGCATCGGTGCTCATGTGAGTAAGCCACCTTGGAAATGGATTCTCAAGATGACTGCTACCCTGCCTAATACCTGACTGCAATATGAGAGATAAGGAGCCAGAATTGCCCAGCTGAGCCACTCCTAACTTCTTGAATCACAGAAGCTATGACAGATAATAATGACTGTTTAGTTTTATGCCACTAAATTTGGTATAATCGAATAGCAGTTGATCGCTAATACAACATCCAACTATTTAGAGTATGGAGTTGGAATCTGGTATTTTAGGGTTTGGAAGGTCGGTAGCCTTCAGAATGTAGATGGATTTCATTTTTTTTAAGATTTTATTTATTTATTCATGAGAGACACACAGAGAGAGGCAGAGACACAGGCAGAGGGAGAAGCAGGCTCCTCACAGGAAGCCCTATGCGGGACTCAGTCCCAGGTCCCTGAGATCACGCCCTGAGCTGAAGGCAGACACTCAACTGCTGAGCCACCTAGACATCCCTGTAGATGGATTTCAAAGCTGTAATACCAGATGAGGTAACTAAGGATGTGAGTGAAGATAGAAAAAAGAAAAGTTCAAGGCACCTGGGTGGCTTAGTTGATTAAGCATCTGCCTTTGGCTCAGGATTGAGCCCCATCTTGGGCTCCTTGCTCAGCGGGGAGTCTGCTTCTCCTTCCTCTGCCCCTCCCCCTGATATTTCTTGCTCTCTCTCAAATAAATAAGTAAAATCTTTTTTAAAAAAGAAAGAAAAAAGGAAAGTTCAAGAACTAAGCCCTCCGGGGGCACTCTATTATAAAAACTCGGAATATGAGAATCAAAAAAGCAAAAGAAGTAAATAGAACAGCCAGTGAAGTAGAAGAACACCTAGGAGAGTATTTTATCACTATCTCATTCATTTAATATCCTTTAAATATCCACCTGGTGTTGAGTCCCATACTTATTTGTTCTTTTTTTTTCTCTTTAAATATTTTATTTATTTATATGGGAGAGAGATAAAGCATAAGCTGGAGGAGGGGCAGAAGGACAAGTAGACTCCCCACTGAGAAGGGAGCCCAACCCAGGGCTCCATCCCAGGACCTGGAGATCATAATGTGAGCTGAAGTTAGATGCTTAACCAACTGAGCCAGCCTATTTGTTCTTTGTTTATAGAATCTTGTTATTCCTGATACATACTATGCATTCAATACATGATTGATAAATGGTTGGGTGAATAAGAGCAAAAGCAGAATAGAATCTAGACTGTGATTTGAAGAGAATAAACGAACATGTTGAATAGCTATGGCACTATGTATCTAAATGAGAGATTGCAAAATAAATAAATAAATAAATAAATAAATAAATAAATAAATAAATAAATAAATAAGAGATTGTATACTGGGTACTGAAAGTTCAAAACCATTCCTTGTCTCTACTTCTTTCTTTCCTATTTTAAAGGAACCAACATTCAGGTATGGATATGGGTATGCAGTCTTGAAATTCTGAAACTTGAAACTAAGTTTGTGGTGTCTGCGGACTTTTACTTAAATGTAAAGTCGGAATTAAAAGTAAAACAAAAAGTTGTTTTTACAACCTTTAGTAAAAACAAAATAAAGTACTTCTCTTTACTTATTAGTGCGGAGACACACTTCTCCCCAGTGTCCTCCAACCACAAAGGCCTTGTTTCTGTCTCTGCAATTTGCTAAGTCTTTGTCTTTGCTATCATTCCCCTGATCTCAGATCTTTTATGGCTTACTCTTCCTTATTTTTCAGTTTTTTTTTTAAAGGTTTTATTTATTCGTGAGAGACACAGAGAGAGAGGGGTAGAGACACAGGCAGAGGGAGAAGCAGGTTCTATGCAGGAAGCCCAATATGGGACTCGATCTTGGTTCTCTGGGATCATGCCCTGAGCCAAAGGCAGACGCTCCACCACTGAGCCACACAGGTGTCCCTATTTTTCAGGTTTTAATCAAATAGCACTGCCTTAGAGAGACTCTTCCTCATCCCCAGTCTACAAAAGCGCCCATTTGGGAAAATAGCTGGCTCAGTTAGTAGAGCACATGGCTATTGATCTTGAGGTTGTAAGTTTGAATTCCATGGTGAGAAAAGATCTTAAAAATAAGATCTTAAAAAAAAAAAAAAAAAACCCCAAAGCAAAAGCTACCATTATCCGCAAGCCCTTTTCTATCATTTACCCTGTATTACTTTCCTCATGGTGCTTATGGTTATCTGAAATCATCACATTTGTTTTTAATAACTTATTATTTGTTCTCCTTTTAGAATAGACACTTCTGTCTGTCACTAATCACAAGTCTAGAACAATGCTTGGCCCATAATAGTCACTCAGAAAGTGTTCAATAAATATGAATCTTCCCTTGTGCTGATAGAATTATTTTGAAGTGTTTTGTTTGAATTTTTTGGATTAAAAGTATTTTTTTTAACTCCAGAAGGTCTATATCTCTTCATTTGTTTCATTTTTCATGTCTTCTGCAATTTAAAAAAGAATATACCTTTTGCTCATTTACCTACGTTTTAAACATCTATTTAGATTAAGATTCTAACCCTTCCTTTGACTCTCAGGTTTGTGGCAAATACTTTTTCCCATGTGTTTGCCTATTGATTTTGTCCCTGTTTTCCTTGTAGAAGTTTTCAACTTCCAGTACTCAAGTGTAGCGATATTTTCATCAGTAGTTTCCTTAGTTGCAGGCAGCATCAAGTAGCAGTCAAGTAGGAGGCTTTGAAGTTATTTTACATAGAATCTGTGACTTCAGGCAAGTAGACCAAATTGCTCAGCTACCACATTTCAAGTTCATCAGTTTTATTTGGGAAATGTGGTTAATGGCACTAACTTCGTCACAAAATTGTGAGAATTTTTTTTTAAAAGATTTTATTTATTTATTCATGAGAGACACAGAGAGAGGCAGAGAGACACAGAGGCAGTGGGAGGAGAAGTCAGCTCCATGCAAGGAGCCCAACGTGGGACTGGATCCTGGGACTCTGGGATCACGCCCTGGGCCATAGGCAGAGCCAACCACTGAGCTACCCTGGCATCCCAAATTGTGAGAATTAAATGAAACTCGGATGTAAAATGATTCGAGTAGTTGTGCACACTGAAAGCGCTCTAAGTTAGAACGGTTAGCAGCTTGCCTTTCACTTTAGATAGTCTCATGCTGAATTTCCCTGGGTCAGATAGTGGCATACATTTTCTCAAATATTTATTTTATTTTATTTTATTTATTTTATTTTAAGATGTATTTATTTATTCATGAAAGACAGAGAGAGAGAGAGGCAGAGACACAGGCAGAGGGAGAAGCAGGCTCCATGCAGGGAGCCCCATGGGGGACTCGATCCCAGATCCCGGGATCATAACCTGAGCCAAAGGCAAGCGCTCTAAGTTAGAACGGTTAGCAGCTTGCATTTCACTTTAGTTAGTCTCCTGCTGAATTTCCCTGGGTCGGATAGTGGCATACATTTTCTCAAATATTTTAATTCTTTTGTCCCTCTTACATTTATTTTGGTGCACCAAGCAACTCATTTTAATGCCTAAAACCAGCTTGGGGTTTTGAATACGCAAGCGATCTCCTTAGGAGCCTTGAATAATCATCCATCAGTCGGCCGAGCTGCAGATCAGAGTCGGCGGTTCCCGGGAGGCCCTTGGCCCCCTGGTGGGCGGGGCTACACCGCAGCCCCGCCCCTCGCCCCCACAGGCCCCGCCCCTCGCCGGCCCCGCCCCTCCGCCCGTTCGGCCCCGGGTTCCTGAGTCCCCGCGCCCCGGCCACCCTGTGGACTCCGGCTGCTGGTCTCCACCCCTCCCTGGTCTACGGCCCTGAGAGCCGGATGTGAGTGCGGGCGTCCTTCTGCTCCGGGCCGGCGTGGCGGGGCCCGGCGCCCCTCAGGTCCCCGGGGGAGGAAGAGAGCCGCGCCGGGGCGGCTGGGCCCGCTCGGCCCTGGCGTGGACGCGCACCCCGGGCCCGGGACGCTCGAGCTCCAGCTTGCAAAGTCCGCGGCCCGGGGGAGGCGGAGCTCGGGCCTGGCGTCCGCGCACCTGGGCAGGCGGCGCCCGGGGAGGGTCGGGCCTGCGGCCCCGGGGAGGGAGACGGGCCCCGAGAGCCGCACCACCCGGAGGGGGAGGGACTGGGTCACCGAGCGCGGGGAGGCGCGGGCAGCTTCGGAGCAGCCGGGGTTCCAGGAGGAGCTCGGGGGCGGGGGGGTAACGCTCAGTTTCGTAGCGGGGCAGAAGGGCGTGGGGAGGGATATCTACAGCTCCCATTGCGGTCCGGCTCCCTACAGCCGGGGGCGTGGAGGAGGCGCAGTGCGCGGGTGCGCAGGGCCGGAGCCTTGGGAGCCCCGCAGCACCGACCATTAAGGTTGCGCTTGGATGGTTATCCACGACTTCTGCTTACCCTTGGTGCTACCCGTCTGTGGCTGCCTCAACAAATCAGAGAGTCAAATAGAGGGAATGCCGGATTCAATAAGGCAATTTTGGGGTTACCATGACCCACAGGCACTGCACTAGGCAAATTTTATATTGGTTAGCTCATTGAATGCTCACAACCGCAAACTTGGGTGGTCATTGTTCTTCTGTTGCACACCTGGATCTCAGATTAAATGACTTACTAAATCACACGAGTGCTGATTAGGCTAGCATTCGTCTTGGAATCCAGGTCTCTGTATGATTTTAGGGCAGAGGCTTTATGGCTAAAAGTAAAGAACACTACTGTTTGGGATAAGACAGATGCCTCGGTTTCCAATTTATGCTTTGACATTTGTTAGCTGTGTGACCTTGGGCAGGTTACTTAACCTTTTAGGGCCTGTTTTCTGCATTTGTGAAATACAGATAAAATACATCCTATGTCATAGGGTTTTTATGTAACACTCAACAAAATGCCTGCCACAAGAGTTAGTGGTAAGCTGGGTATAGCTACGTACATCCTGCTGTTGTCATTTATTGGGTTTCAGCAAACTCCTGCTCTGAGTGCTGCCAGTCAGAGCCAAACTAAACTTGCGTAGGCATAGAGCACAGGTAGAGAGAAGCAGGAAAGGATCAGAAAGGAGAATTGAGGACAGAAGACCTATATGATGGCAATTATAGTGAAACCTGTAGTTGAATGTGTGGTACCCAGGGCCACTTTTTTTTTTTTTTTTTTTTTGCCTTTCTGAGATATTTTTAAAGGCAGTTCCTTTTGGCTGGTGTTTTGGGAAAATGTATCCCACTCTGGGCTGAAAATATTCAAGGAAACAAGTTTTTGGGCCTGGACCATGAGGAGACACTTTGGATGTGAGGGGGAGCTGAATTTCAGCACTTCATAGACTAAAATATGCTGGCACAAATCTCAGAATGAAGTGTACAGTTCTCTTTCAGGATTTCTTCTCTCAGACCTACCCCCTGAAGAATAGAGAGGGAGAAGAATTTTCAGGATAGAGGAAACAAAAGGATTCTTTGTATTTTAATGGTTGTATAATGATACCTGTCCTAATTTCATTTATAACTGTAAACACTTTATAGACAATGGTCTTGATGTCCACATAAATTTAAGGCACCTTATAACTACACACATTCAAATATTGTTTTATATTCTCTTTTCAATGCTATCACTGTGGTCCTGAATATTTCCTTTGCAGCATCTGTTCAGATACCCAGGTCATACTGTATCCTAGCTCCTATCAATTCTTGGGATAGCTTTAGACATAATTTTCCTTGCCCCCCTTTTTTTCTCAGTTCTATTGCTATTGCTATGCTTTTTTTCTACTATTTTTAGAGTTTTCTTTTCACCTTTTTTTTAAAAAAAAAATTGGTTTTGTCCGTGATTTGTTATCCTGGAAAGTATGCCTGTCAGCAAAACTAAGAAAGTGTTGGATCTGAAATATGACTAAATAACATTTTGACCTTCAAAGATCTGTAATGAGCCACCACTGATCATCAAAAACATACTCTCTGAGATGTATCTTTTAGCAAAAATCAATGACACCATCTACTGAGAGTACTCAGCAAGTTGGAGGAGCCCAAACTTGGACATTCCTTTAATGTACCCACTATTACCTTTACCCTACAAGGTTAGCTTCCTTCCTACCAATGTGTTTTTCCTTTGTGTTCTTATTTATATTATAAGGATTGCTAGTCAGGTTAAAGTCCAACAAATAATTAGGTAGTGAGTATGTGATTCAAGATCTGTTGAAAGATTGGCTGAGAAGAGGTTTAAATGAGCACCTAAAAAGTATCATAGATTTTATTTAACTACATTTTTAAAGTTTCTGACATAATCAAAACCAGTCATTATATATACATTTGGTAAAATGACAATAACTACATTTAAGTTGATTATGCTGGCTTAAATTTGAAGAAGCTAGTAGAAGAATATTGAGGTTCTTTTGGAGAAGCTGTATTCTTTTAGTATATAACAGCTTATCAGTGTGCAATCATTTTTTTTTGCAATCATATTTTTAAAAAATATTTTATTTATTTATTTATTTATTTATTTATTTATTTATTTATTTATTGAGAGAGCACAAGTGGGGCGGAGAGGGAGAAGCGTGTTCCCTGCTGAGCAGGGACCCCCCCCCCCAACAAGGGGCTTGATCCCAGGACCCTGAGATCATGATCTAAGCGGAAGGTAGACACTTAACTAACTGAGCCACCCAGGTGCCCCGATTGCAATCATATTTAAAAAAACAAACAAACATTAAAATCAGTGTAATGGTCAAATTTACCAACATAAGTTAGATAGATAGCATATTAATACAGTTTTCCCATGAAAAAAAGAAGAGATAATACATATTCATTTCAGCAAATCATTTTGAAATGTCCTCTTACTAATTGAGTGTACAATGTCTGGTTCCTGTGAAAATTACCAAAGCACAGCATGATTGCAATATGCATTGTCATCAGGCTACTTCAATTTTCTGAGCTTTAGTTTGCTATGCCTCTAAGGTGGTAGTACATGTTAAAATAGGTATCTGCAACTGTAAAGAGGAACTTGTTGGTCACATTTTCATCTGTTTAGGGGTCTGGATTTTTTAAAAAGAAGCGAAAATCAAAGCAAGTAATTTCCGATTGTGTTGTCAGGATAAGCTTATAAAATATCTAGAATTATACCCCACCTTCAATTCTCCCCTCCCGTGCTTATTTTTTTTCTTTAGCACTTTAACACCTAGCATGCTATATATTTCACTAACTTATCTTTTAAAAACATTTTTAGTGATATATTTTATTTAAGCAAATATACTTAAAATATTATCATTTAAATATGTGGTTAATCTAAAAAGTTATTGAGAGATCTCACATTTCTTTTTCATACCAGTCTTGGAAATCATGCTCACATCATCTCAGAGGTACCACATTTCAAATGCTCAGTAGCATACTGGTCATCTAAGGGCTGGAACTCCTTGACTAATGTCCAGACCATATGCAAAATTGTAACATCTAACAACTGAGGCACTGTACCTCTAACACTCTGAGGTTCTAGTGTGACATTCTAGAATCCTGTAATTCAAATAGTCTGAAACTAACACTGTAGGATTCCTTGGGTCAAATAGCCTATGATTCCAATGTTCTAAGAGTCTGTGATTCCAACACTTCAGAGTCTTTGGCTGAGATTAAGGGTCAGCAAACTCCAGCCTATGGGCCAAATCCAGCCCACTCCTTGTTTTTGTAAATTAAGTTTTATTAGAATACTGCTATCCCCATCAAGTCTGTGACCACTTACATTCTACCAGAGCAGATTGAGTAAGTTGTGACCGAGACCATGAATGTGACCTCTTGACCAGACAGAACTAACATATTTACTTGTTTTTTCCTTTACTGAAAAACTTGACTGACTCTTGACATAGATATTCAAAGATTCTAAGATGAGTGGTAGTTTTACAGATATTTAATTGATTGTTGTACTTTATAACTCATGCATGTTACATACATTCTTTTCTGTGCATCAAATATCACATAATATATATTGTTCAAAAGAGATTGGCTTCCCCATCTTAGGCATTCACCATTTCAGGCTTATATAATCCATTAGGTTGATTACTTACCTTATTATTTTATTTTATTTTTTTTTACTTACCTTTTTTTTTTTTTTAAAGTAGGTTCTATGCCTAACATGGGACTTGAACTCATGACCCGGAGGTCAAGAGTCCAACGCTCTACCGACTGATCCAACCAGGGCCCCCCCCCCTCCTTTTCTTATCTTTTTTATTGTCTTTCTCCCTATAGTATAACCTCAGGGTCGGATATTTGTTTTGTTCATTGTTCTCTTAACACCTCAGGAAAGGACCTGACACACAGTAGATACTCTATAAATACGTGTTGAATGGATGAATAGTATCATTAAACTGTTTGTGGTTGGGAAATAGAGGATTGCCAGAAAGTTGAAACCAGTTGAAGTTTATGTGCCAAGTAACCATAAACGGAATATTCTTGAAACCAGGAAATGTATAAACATTTCAACAATCCTTGCTCAACATGCGGATTTTTTTTTAAGATTTTATTTTTAAGTAATCTCTATATCCATCGCGGAGTTTGCACTCACAACCCCAAGATCAAGAGTTACATGCTCTACTTGACTGAGCCAGCCAGGTGCCCCTGCTTAGCGTACCAGCTTAAATCTTGAGAATGAAGTAGTTGTAGTTGTTCCAGCTTTAAACTGAAAGAATTTTTGTGTCTGTGTTCACCATGAGCTAGAAAGGAGCATACAGTGACAAAATGTGAAATGCCCATCTTGCCCAATTCAATATTGTAGGTGTCCAGCTAAGAAGAGAGGAAGGGAGCTGAGTTTTAGAAAGCGTGCTTTTAGACTTGGGCATAGTTGGATAGTAGGGCCAGGTGAGACGTTCTGATGGCTGCCCC